CATAGGGGAGGGAGATCTACGGCATGCCTGGACGTACGTATGTAGATAATGTCTGCCTGATAAATGTCACCTCGCTCGCAACTCTGGGCGAGGCAATCAAAAATTTTTACAAATTATGACTTGATTCATTTTGATGGGGGCGCCAAAAATTGTGTTAATCTCTTTTTGTCTCTCATTGTCTGTCTCTGTCTCTGTCTCCCTCTCTTTACTACCTTATTGTTAATGAAGATGACTATTGAGATTTCCTTTGCGTCGTTGCACAGATAAAACTTTTTTAATTTAACGCCACATTATTCAACACCCAAAAGCTAAGAAACTTAATATTTAGTGTGTGCTGGCCACAAAAGCCCTGATGATTATCGCATTTTTTAATCGTTTTGATGTGATTCTCAAGAAATCTTGCACTAAAAAACTCTCGAAACTAATTGTTATTTACTCATTTATTTAAATATAAAAGTCTTCGGTTGACACTATAAATTTTGAGTGGAAGAAAAACGCTTAGGGATGCCTATAAAGAGAGAGAGAGTATCTACTTAATATCCACTTTACTTACGTATACATAACTCGAAAAGGAAAACAAACACACACACACGCACCCTGTGTAACCCAAACACCCGAGAAGAAAAAGGAGCGGAAGCACATTTCTCAGTTCTCCCCATCCTAGTCGCTCCAACAATCCAGGGGCTTGCTTGGGTGAAGAGCGGCAACAGCGCGCCATTTCTCTAAATGATTTTAAATGCGCCGACATACCCAGAGACACAAAATAAGTACAATAATTTGTGGGCAAGTTCTTCTTGTACTTTTTTTTTCTCCACCGAGTGTCGACAATGATGATGTGATAGACAGCAGGGGGAAATAATTGTTATAGAACAGCCCTGGGAGTGATGTGGGTTGGCTGGAAAAGTGCGTGCTCACAACAAACACTTTGTTATTGCCGCACGAAGAGTGTGTCTTTTTTTAAAGTATGTGCCACATAAAACAAATGTGCGCATCTCCTTGTGTACATAAATATATTTTGGATTTACTTTAAGTGAAATCTTTGCAGACAAGTATTACCCAGAGGGGAGAGAGAATGTAATGGAAAGGATTTGTGATTTGTTTTTGGTGAATAAACAGAGCAAAGTTGAAAAATTATTAATACTTGCTGACTTTTGAAATTTATAAGCCCCGAAGTCTTTAAAAAAAGTTTTCTTATTCACTTTAATGGGAAGCTGTACAACGTAATCGACACGCTCTTAACTTTGGTGCCTCAAAATCTTACCCTAAAAATATTTCGAGGCATACAGACAACATAAATTGCCAGTGATGCATTTTCAACAGCAGCAGCTCGTAAAACATATATGTGTATATAAATATATATAAGACATATCTGGGTTGTCTATAGAAATACTTAAAAGTCGTTGCGAGTGCATTAATGAGCTCGAACAAAATGTATGACAAATGCTTTTAATGGCCCAAAGAATGCAAGACAGTGACTCTTTGATGCTGACACTGTTTGGTGTCTGATGAGGATTTTCAAGGAATTTATGAAGCACAAAACAAATAGATATTACAATATATTTATACACAGTCAAAGTTTCGTCGCGCAGCTGCTTTTCACGCCATTATAAATGGGCTCAACTTGACTCTGGGCTTAGCTATTGTTTCGTCTACGAACAACTTTAAATTAATGACATGAAATTGCAGGCAACAATGAAATGCACAAAACTTGGCCCACAAAACGGCAACTGCAATGATGATAATGACGATGATGTCGTCTAAGTCAGATCCTCAGCTCCATTGCCGTTGGCAATGGCAAACATAAAAGGCCGCATTTCTGCGGCTGTTTCGACAATTCCTCGCCACTTGGCACAAGCATAATCACTAATAATAAACCAAGAACACGCCGGCACACAGACACGTTTCGAGAGAACCATTAAAAATAAATCATGAATAGGAAAAAAGAGAAAAATCAAAAGCTGCAGCAGCTGCTTCTCTTCCTCCGTGGATGTTGTGCAGTGCCTTCCGATCCCGTTGCCTGTCGGTCTGTCTGTCTGTTTGTCTGTCAGTGTGTTGCTTATGTTATTTGGACAAGCGCCGCGTGTGATATGCCTCCATCGTCGGCAATCCTCATAAGTGGGGGCATCTATTCCAACTGGCAGCTTGCCTCTCGGTACCTCGACTAGTGCACATCAATCATTTGTAATTATACTCTGGCTCTTCTCTTTGCTGTTAGCCCCTTCCTTCCCAGTTTTTCCTTTTTGTGTTGGTCTAACGGAAATGGCTTTTTTTTTTTGGGTAGCCCAGGTTCAGTGATCTGATCTGATCTGATCTTATGCGATCTGATGTGCGTGTGGAGCGTCTCTCATTCTCATCTCGCACTTGAGGCATGTCGTTCTATTGAAGACAATTTATGAGTGCTTTGGGATTACGTAATGTCTTCCAGAAGACTTACAATACTATTGCCATGATCGGTGGATTGCGCCAAAAAAACTAATGGGATACTCCACATATTAAGCACAACTGAAAATCTACAATTCTAAACATGGTTATAAAGCTTAATATATTTTGTTACGACGTGCTTTTTGTTAACTTTTCTAGGTCAGGTAAGAAGATCCCCCATTGTTTGCTAAATATGCTCAAAATCAATTAAGCTTAGTAATTTCTTGCTGTTTGCGGCTAACGAGCTTCTAACTGCTCATTTTCATTTTCTCCTTATACTTACCTAAGTTAAGATAAGTCCCAAACAAAGATGTCATCATATCTCTAACAATTAGCTATACAAGCATTAGTTGTGTACAGATTGTTAAAAGATTTTTATTTCCAAAGTACTCTCTAAACTCTTTTCATTATCTTATAAGAATTTTTAGTGAATATAACTGCCAGTTAGAATTTAGAATAAGAATTCCCCTACAATTAGAATAAGCAAGATAAAACTGACAAGAAAATAAAAAACCATTAAAATGTCATTAACAGCGAAAGAAATTAATTCACATTCATTCAGCTGAATACATGAATACATTCGTGATAAGCCTCTAAATATTATGCTAGTCTCTATTCATTTTATTCGCGCTGTGTGTAAATTGTTCGCTTCCTGTAGATTTTACCATTTGTGAGTCTGTGAGTTGAATTTCAAACCAATTGAATTAAATGCGAATTAAATGCGTTGCTGCAGCCAACGAAAATAAAAGATGCATTTAGCTTACTATGTTACATACATATGTATAAATATGTTTACATACATGTGCCTCTATTTGTAGCTGTGATAAAAGCTTGTTTACATTTTGCTCTGTCTACACACAGCTGTGAGGCAAAATTGGCGCAAAATGTTTTTAATCAATTTAAATTGAATGATGACCCGCACAATCAGCGCAAGCTCGACAGAAATAATTGTAGCATTGTATCTTTTACTTTGCATCTTGTATCTTACAGTGTGCTGGCTTTTGAAGAGCTTTGAATAAAAATTGTTATATTTCTAGCATGCTATTTTTACAATGTTTTATAAATTGTATTGTTATTTTTATTGGGCTTGATCTACATTCGCATTTAATTTGTTTCGAATTCTTTTTTACATTCCAAACATGTACAATCACATAACTATTAATGCGCATGAAATTTTTAATTATTTTATTTTTTCACAACTCGACAGAAAATTTAATTTTAACACGCGACCCACAAAGTTTCATTTTTTTTTATAGTTTTTTTCACATTTTTGTGTGGATTATGTTTTGTGCAGTTTTCTTGTGCTCCTCGTTTGGGCTTGTTTATTTATAGCTTGTTCGCAAAATGGACGAATTCTTCTTTTCCTCATTTTTAATTTAATGTAAATTAAGCATACGCCACGTGGGCCGCAATCATATACGTTTGTTTTGCGTACAATTTATGAATATCAAACAAGGTATGATGGTTACAGCTGTCTGACCTTAAATTGAAAGCAGACGCTCCAAAAACTGTATAAATTAAATAGAGCCCGCTTATGGCAAATGAGACAATCAAATTCATTGTTGATCGTATCGGAGCGGGTCAAATGCTTGAACCAATCAATTGCGTATTGTGAAGGTTGGAAAATCAGATTCAGAAATGCGCCAATTCAGTATTCAGCATTACTCAGTGTTTCAGTATAAATGCGCCAGTATTTAATTATTTTCAATTAATGATATTTGCATTGTAAATGCTTACTACACAACATGCATATTATAAATGTTATCTACATTGCATGCTGACTAACTTAAAGGCATACATTCCGTACAATTTGACCCACTAAAGAGTTACCATCAAAAGAGTGGTATTTGTAGCACTAATTACAAAGCGTATGAAATCATTTTTTCATTTAGCAGAGCAAAGGCAATGAACTGCAGTTTATCTGCTGCTTAAGGCAGAGTAATGCACAGATACAGAAAATATAGGAATGGATTTTGAACGAGCCCGTCGAGTACATATAACAAGAAAGCAAACATTCTGAGCAGCTACAGTGAAACAAATGTAAGCGCAATTAATAATGTGTAGCAGTTGTAAACGTTCATCAGACTGTCTGTTATTTAGAACATGTCAACAAGATAAAACAAAAAGAAAAGCGTAACACAACCCAAAAGTTAAACCGTCCAAACAGAGGCAAGAATTTGAAAACAGAAACATTGCACAATTCCAACAAATGTATATTTTGATTTTAGCTTTTTCTAACGTTCTATTTGTATACTCTAGCCGCAAATAAAGAAAGAGTTGATTGAGTTTTATTAAAGCTTAAATATCACTTTCGACAGCATTAATTCATAACAAAATTTGTTGTCTTAAGATAACTCTGTTTACATTTTTTGTATGTTATTATTTCAAGAGAAATAAATTATATTTTGGAAAATTATGAGTATACGCAACTTTGGTTTGTTATTCCATCTATTAATCATATTTGTCGTTCAGAATCTTTTTGTTTTGACGCATGGATTTCAATCAGATTTTCAAGTGCTGTCTCAAGTGAACATTTGTAAAATATATTTTCCACTGAAGAATCATGAAAAATTACTCACCAAGAAGAGCAACAGCTGCGCACAGTGTTAGCCATTTAAGGCCTTCGTTGGGTATCATTTTGACCATTTTGTAGGCTGTTCGGTATTCTTCTGTTTTCTTTTAGTATTCCTCTCGGGGTTGGCCGCTGACTGTATCGATTTTTATACGAACAAATAAACACCCTTTATAGGCACACACGCGACCGCGATGGTTGGTGAGGTTAGGAGTTAAACCGGTGACTCAGCTGCTGCAATGAGAAATATAATAATATTGTTGGGGTTAAGATAGCGAATAAAAATTGACTTCCGTAGATGCTAGTGTGTAATTGGAATGGAATGTTCAAGCTAACAAAATATTTAGCTAAAAATGTGATTCACTTTATAGCCAATATAATCAAAGATCATCTGGGTATTGTACAGTGGGAAAAATAATTGTCTTAGAATTGAGTAAATCTAACTAAATATTTTAGAAATTATTTCTAACTTGATTTTTTTTTATTTGATAATTTTTTTAATATAAGAAATCGTAGGAAATTCAACCCATATTCGGAGATACCATGAAATCACTAAGGCTTACACACATATTCTTCTCAGTGTGCCCAATATTAATATTATTCAGTCTTCTCTCTAACCCGTTGCAGGTTTTAATTACAACAGTGTGTAATATGTAAGCATCGATTTTAATTCACAAAGCTTGCAAAGAACAGCAACAACAACGACTACTTTTCCAGTGCTAATGAAATGCAAGTAATTTGATTAGGCAAGCAGCAACCCCCTCAACAACCCGTTCGGCAACCCGTTCGACAACCCCATTGACAACCCCTCGAAGCAGAGCTTAGCACAACAATAAATAAACCTTCGTCAGAGCCCGCACAACCTGCTGGACGTGCAAAATTGCTATTGCAAAATACGTTGCACAGTGTAAACTGATAGGTGAATGTGGGCGGAAGGGGCTGGCAAGCTATCAATTTGTGTGGTCCTTAACCTCAATCGGATTTCAATGATATTAAAATAGTAACAAGCTCGAAAAACTTGACAGACTGTCTATAAAATATTTGAGGAAAGGAGATGTGAAAACTTTGACTGAGAAGCTACAATAAAATGGTATCAAACGTAAATTTCACATTTCTAGATTTTCAAATACGAATGCCTTTTAATTTATTTATGAATCTGTTAAGCCACAACATTTTATGGGCGCTGCTCGGTCACAGTTCACACTGCAGTTCAACTTGACAACCTGCCCCGCCCTCGGCAAGCGTAATACATTTATGTAAATCCATCAAAGTAATCGCGCCAAACAATTTGTCCGCATTGATGCCACATATGGCAGTCGCATTAGAGACCCGCAGACTTGTGACGCGGAACTTGCGACAACGCCAACTGTTTATAAAGCCATACAAACGATTAGCGAAAAGAAAAATAGACAGAAAGCATAGAAGGGAACAGAGTTATTGTCTAGATGCAGAAGATTAAATACCCTTGTCAATGATATATGTATCTTTTAAAAAGTTCCTGCTAAAAGTAAATATTGTCGAATTTTAAGAATTTCTATGACAGCATTAATCAAGTTTCACTAATTAAGTTTCATTTTTAATGAAACGTTTGTATGATATATGATATTACATAGTAACCAGAGCTTAAATAAAGTCTTCACTCAAAATAGTTGTTGTCAAGTTCTAAAAACTTAAAATATAGCTTAATGTTTTCTCCGTTGAATATTGATCAAACTTAGCTAAAATAAAAAATTGTTAATGTCAATTTGTATATTCTATTTCTACGACAAATTCCGTCTGCAGTAGTAATATGAATCTACACCAAATTGTATTCTTGAAAATATATTCTTATATATCCCATATCATATCTATAATAACCTCGGCGAGGGTGTTTGAAAGTGGAAAATGCAACTACTCACGCTGGTGGATGTCATTAATTAAACCTCAAATGGCCAAATGGTTGGCAACGGGGCTATAGAAAATCCACTTCGATGTCGTCTTGCGCCTTTTGTCATCCATAAAGTATCAGGCATCATCTCCCCTCCTGCCTCCCATCACCTCCACCCAAAACATTCGCGTGCCTTAAAAACTTTATGACTGGCAGGAAGTCACGATTCCACACACACACACACACACACACACACACACACAAAACACATACACGAGTTTTTCTTTCTACATATATATCTATCAATTTCTATGGACTGTCTGTGTTTCAGTTTGACATATGCCTACGATAGACTCAACGACAACATGAACTTGCCATAGACGCGGACATGGATGTCAACATGGAACGTGAAACAGCTTCGAACTAGCTGCCTGTCTGTCTGTTTGTGTGTCTGTTTGTCTTGCCGTCTGTCTTGGCATGTGTCTTTAGCTTAGCTGAAGATTTGGACAACATTCATCTATGAATTCCAGCGACAATTTGTTCGCTTTTTAACGCTTAATTAAAACTTAAGTGGATTTATTCCCCAGCAACCAAATTCTGATCAAATGCCAAAAGCTCTCGTCTCTTGTTTTATTTTCGATGCTCAACTTTTATTTTATGAGCAGCTAATGAATTTTATTTTACACTCTACTACAACTATTATTTCCATCTGTATTTCAAGTTTATGATTTGATGTTGTCAGAGGGTTGCAACGAAGGAGGGAGGTAGCAGGCGCAGTCGCAGCAGCTGAACTTGGCACGTGGCCAGTAAAATGAAGGGAGGATCAGCCTAAACAAATGTTAGCTTTCGAATTGGTTTAATGAACTCCAACCAGGGAAGTTAACAACGCAATTGAATAGTTCTGGTTGGACTACGACGCAGTTGCACAGCTGCGCAGGCGACTTTAGGGTGGGAAAGAGAATTTCCATATTCTAGATAGCTGGTAGCAAATAGTGGGGTGGAAAAACTCACTGACTACAACATCTATCTGATCACATTCGAGAACTGCCCAACTAGATATTTATATCGTATTGTTAAATGAAAAAACTCGCACACATAAAATTAAACTTGCACCCTACATTTTAGACAGTTCGGTTTTAAATCGAACTTTCTATAAATTAATTTTAAATTTATTCCAGGCCATATTTTTCTCTGAGTGTGGTAAGCAATAACAACATATCATCCTGTGCTGCTCCCATCAAATTTGTTATGAGGCATCATCTGTTGCCTTGAACATGATTCAGCTGCCGACTTTACAGCATTGGATGAGAGACAAAACGATACAATGCTTAAACATATGCCAAAAACTGCCAGTCTCAATTTAGAAAACATCTGGTAATCAGTCATCAGCAGGCAATATCCATAAACTACACAGTTCTACCCATTATTCTACATTAAATTAACAAATTTTCTGTGCATTTTGTTAGTAATTAAAAAACTATGAAAGCCAAGTAGAATTTTAAATTTAAAGACATTTTAAATGTGTCTTATATAGCACAAAATTCACATTCATAAAATAAATAAATAATCTGCTTCCCGGAAATTAAAGTTTTGTGTGCAACGCAATATTTAAGGCATTTAAAATTTTCGTCATTTTTACAAAGTGACATTCAAATCCTCAATTTAATTTGGGCGGAACCGAGAGAGCCTCAATCGCGTGGTAACATCAGCGAATTACAAATTTTATTACTCATTCTTGTTTTACTTTTTCCGTCGGATGGCAACTTAAAATGCCTGTCAGTGCATTAGGGTGCCTGTCGAGCCAATAAATTTTGCAATTTACTGCAGCGAAATGCTTTTTTTTCTCATATCAAAATCAGAGAGGGGTGGATGAGCAGAGGATGTCTGCTCCACAAAGTGCAGTGGCCTGCTGCAGGGTCAATCCACATTCGCATTCGCATCCGTCCATCGTTCGTCATCAGCCGGAAAGGAACAACAACCGTCCCATTGTCCAGTTTGCCTCTGTTCCATGGTCCATGGTCCATACTCTCATGTTCAGTGACCCATTGGTTTGCTGCATGCTGCGCCTAATTGAGAGTCAAGTGCACTTACGGCCAACAACAGCAACAAAAATCGACTACTTTTGTTTGACTGCCTTGCCTTATTTGGCTAACCGGTTTGTGTTTCCGTTCCCCACTTTACCCTTTGGCCAATGGCCATTGACATTTTATGCAGCAGTCAAAATCAATATTTTCTATTTACTCAGCTCTGACCTGACGTAGCTGTGATTCACAAGGATGCGGAAAAAAGGATGAGAACATCTTGGAAGATAGGAGAAGCTCTTTGAAGAACATTTACAAAAAAAAACAAACTGCAAATAATTTTATGAGAAAATCATAAATTCTGAAAAGGACGCCAATAGTTTATTGACATTTTTAAAATTTGTTCTATTAAAAAATCCAAATAGACTTTTGACGTTAATTTATTTAAATATTTAGTTTTGATTTCATCTTAATTAATATGAGTCGACATCCAAAAGAAAACCAATAAAAAATATAATTCAAATGAAGTCAAATTTAAGATAATTAAAATAATGCTTTTCAAAATTTAATTTCAAGAAAATTAAATCTTACAAATTATATTTCAATATATATTATGGATATACAATTTATATTTATTCAAATTTTATGCGACTTATGCAAATTTAGGGCGTTAAAAATTTGATATGCATTGCACATGTTTAAAGCAAATCAATAAGCACAGACGAGTAACAAAAACAAATTGAAGAAGCTACTCGCAGAATGAGCATCAGCAACAGCAGCAGCCAAAAACTCCGCCTAGCAACAGGACATGAGAATGACGATGACTAAGGAGAGGCCAAAATGAGGAAACGACCTGCAGAAATGCAGACCTCCTGCAGACAGGCACAAGGACGAAGGCGAAAAGGACGAAAGGCAGCCGAAAGGCGCAACACTTGCAAAATAAAATAAAGAAAACTATACGTGGAAAAAACTGTTCGAAGCGACAGCTGCACAGGATTTCGTTGAGATGCTGACAGCAAACGGGACGAGTTTTCTATTCAGTTGAGGGTTGCTCTCACACAGATACACACACACACACACACAGACACTCATACACACATAAGCAGCTGAGCACAATGAGTGCTGCGCGTATGTGTGCCACATGGAAACATGGAAAAAGGATTTTAGAAAAGATGCTTCAAAATGAAGTGTTTGGCAAAGGGCCGCAGCCTGCCTGAGTAGGGAAAAACTACCTGACAAAGACCAAGACAAAACCATGGCTCAGGCTCAGGTTGCATACACACACACACATACACACACGTACGCAAACAGGGACAACGCAGAGTTGCTTTGATTGCTGTGTGTGAAATGCAAAGCGCATGCGCAAAAAAAAAAAATTCACCAAACAAATGCACGCAAAGAGCATTTTAGCAAAATGCCAAATTCTAAATGAAAATGTCTGAAATAACAGCGAATTCTTAGCAGAAACAGCACAGCGAATATTACAATTTATAATTTTTTTAAATTTCTGTCATTTTGTGCAGTCGAAATGCGTTTAACAGCTGCTGAAACATTCGCATTGCAATTCGACAGTACACACCCTTTTGTGTGTGTGAGTGTGTGTGTGAGGGTGTGTGAGTGTGCAGAATGTAACAAAATTGTTTTTCGCCAAAGGGAAAACTTTAGTTCCTGGCGAAAAATCAATAGGAAGCTGTGCCATTTTAACAAAATATAGCTCGTCAAAAATAAAACAAATTCCAAATTTATGGCACAAATAGTAAAGCACTCAATTTGGGCTTGTAGGGGGCAATTGGAGGGGTGGGTGTGGGTGTGGGTGTGAAACTAACAGCAACAACAACAACAATAACAATATGAACAGACAAAGAAGTAGCCAGACAGCTACAAAGTAGACCGTTAAATAATGTTGACTTACCGTTTAGGCGAGTTGTGGTTTGATTAGATTCGATTTAGTTATTTTTTAAGCACAAATCACTTTTGATTGTGAGCAAATTTTGATAACAGGGTGCCACTAATCCACTGCTGTGGCGACTCTGCACAAAAAAAGCTGATAACCTGCAACAACAGCAGACGCTGCTGCCTTTTTTTGGCGCTGTGCTCTGCTTTTAGATTTGTATTATTTTTATTTATTGCTTTTGCTTTTGCATTTTATTTAACTTTATTTTCACAAACACACACACAAAGCGCGCTTACCGACAGAACCAACCACCACAAGCAAAACTGGTTTGCGGGGGTGTGAGTACCGCGGACCGTAAACGGTGTGTGTAGCCACACACAACTACACGTACACAGACACAAACGAACTGAGGCGCACACACACTATGAATTAACGTAGACGTAAGCTCCGACTCTCGATATGTTCGACAGTGATCTCTCGACGGTCCAAACCAGACTGAATTGCCTTTATGACTAGCTGTTAGTCGAGAGCGGCCGGCCTGCACTCTCGTGTTCGTTTACATTGCCCTCTGAGTGTGTGCGTGTAGGGGTATTTGTTTGGGAAATTTAGCTGGGATATTATGAGGGGACACCTGTTGATATCAGTGTGCGTGCGTGTGTGCGTGCGTGTGTGTGTGAGAAAATACATGTTGCGCTCAGGTCAGCTAGTAAAAATATGCTACGAAATAATTATGTAACGGCTATTAAATGTATTCTATTCACTACAGCCATTACTAGAAATAAAAAGATACACATCCGTGGTACAATTGTAACAAAAAGGGTAATTGATTTATTTGCTGTTAGAGTGGACCTTTTTAAATGAAAATAAATTATAATAGATTAAAAAGTCATACCAATATGTGTTATTTATATTTATATTTTATTTTATATTCTGCACTCTGAAACAAATTTTGTTTAATTAAACGCCAAACAATATTTTTGTTAAAATACTTTTATTCGGAATATGATTTTGATATTAAGCATATATGCATTATACTCATAATTCTTCGCATTGTTAATTTTTAAATCAAACACAACCTAAATGCTTTTACCATACAGAAGACATACAGTCACTTACATATAACTACAAATATATTGTAAGTATTTTTATATGAATAAATTGTGGGTAAATATATAGATATATATATATAACATAAAGACAAATGCTGAGATTTACTGAGATTTGGTTTAATTGGATGGGAAGATAAAGATATACATATTTAACATTTCTGAGGTTATTTGAGCACTTCGTAAATGAGTCAGTTTGGGGAAGACACTTTAATTAATACAATTATTTAAAAAACTAAATATAAAACTAATAAATAGCACTTGCTGGAACTGAGACTTAAAACATAAAGTAAATGCGAAAATGCTAAATAACTTAAATTAATATATATGTATATAAGGATGTACAATGTATGTACATAAAACGCAGAGATTCCATTAATTACTTAAGTATTACATTTTGAGCGAGTTATTTGCGATTTCCATTTTTGTATTGGGATTGCTGAGTTTTGTGAGTATTTTAAGTAACAATTGTCAAGTCTTTATTACATTTAGCCAGTCGAAGGGAGACCTTTGTTTTTTAAGTGTATTTAAATGCTGCAGTTGAGAGTCAGAAAACCATGGTGAATAATAAGTCTATTTGTGACTTGAGTGTGGACGTATTTCTTCAGTACATATATCCATATATCAAAGAGATGAAGAGAGTGAGAAGAGAGCATTTACAGTTGACTTTTGATGGATATCCAATCCTACTTAAGAGAGACTTCGAATGAGATGCGTGTATGTGTGCTACATTTATCAGAGAAATATGACAACTAACTGTTGATCGCCAAGCGAGCATCTACTCTTTCTCTCTCTGTTTCTCTTTCCCACTCTCTTTGAAGAGAGTCTGTTGAATTAAGCGCTAAATTCGTGGGTATTTTTTTTCTAATTTTGACGCGTTGCATCCTGTATAATAATTTTATTCTTTTGTCGCGTCACCTTTGTGGACGTCGGAGCGGGCATCAACCGCTTCAGCTGATCCTGATTGATACTGACCAGCGCCCTCTCCTTGCTCTTGCTTGAAGTGGCTGCTCCACTCGTAGTCGCTGTTGCAGCTGCTTTTGTTGTGGTTGTTGTTGCTGATTTTGTTGTTGTTGCCGCCGCCGCTGTGGTTGTTGTTGTCTCAATCAACGCTGTCGACTCATCCGCCGTGGATGATGAACCCGCGGCAGCAGCTGCTGCCGATGCATATCGTGTGAGCACCTGAAATTTGGCAAAGATATTGCGGCCACTGCTACGCTCCTTATCCTTGTACTTGTCGAGAACGGTGGGTTTGACCTGAACCTGAGCAGGCGGTGCCTTCAGCAGTGCCTTATTATTATTGCCAGCCGCCGCCGCCTTGTAAAAGTCCAGTTCGTAGTCGAAATCGCTGCTGGTCGTGGCACCAGCACCAGTTGGAGCCAGAGCACGTTCGCCATAGCTAGCAGAGCTGGCCGATGTTTCCGCTGCCAGATGACGCAGCATAAGCGTTAGCTTCGTTTCGTGCTGACGCTGGAGAAGCACCGCATTGCGTTCACCCTCGAGTCGGGCTTGACGCACTGCGTTCGAGAGGACACGCTCCTTCCATTCCCAGGCGTCGCGTTCCCGTTCCAACTGCACCAGTTGCTGTTCCAGTTTGCGTGAGGAGTCCCGCAGATCGATGACCTTCACGAAATACTTATAGAGCAGAGTGCGCATCTCCTCCGAGGAGAGCTTGTTGAGGCGTGCCATTAGCATCTGTTCACCCTTCTCGCGCTGCTGCCGCTCGGTGGACAAATCGATGGATTTGTGGCCACAGATCAGTTCGTTCTTGAACTCGATGGCCTCATCGATGGCCATGATAGCCTCATCACATTCCAACAGCTTGCGCTCCTCCCGTTGCGTCAGCATTTTGTCCCGCTTCAGCTTGCGATCCAGGGTGCATCGCTGCTCGAGCAGATGATCCCGAGTTCGGCGCAGATTGCGTATCTCGTGGCGCAGGCTCTCTTGTTGGGCGGGGGATTGTTCGCCCGCATCCCACTGCTCCAGATTCTCGGACTTCTCGCGCAGTATGTGATCCAGGTGGGTGATCCGTGCCTGCACCGCTTTCAGCTGATCGGGATTCGGCTCCAGCTTGACTAGTGTTGCCTCCTTCAGGCTCTTGAGTTCGGCTTCCAGCTGATCCCGCAATTTGCACTCCTTCTTCAGTTTCTTTTGCAACTCGTCGATTTGTTTGCGCGACTCGGCAACGGATTGTTGCAGTTTCTTCAGCTTCTGGCCACTCTCGCCTGCAATGTGCTTCATGGAGCTGAGATCCTGCAGTCGCTGTTCGATGTGCGCTATAATCGCACCATAGCGTTCAATTTCCGCCTTCTCCTTGCCCTGAACCAGCGCCTTGGCCAGATGCTTCTTGGCCTTCTCGCATTCCGCATCCAGTTTAGCCTTTTTCTTGTGGAATCGTTGCTTGGCATGGGTGCGCGTCTCTCGATTCTTCACCAGCTCACTGATAATGTTCTGCTTCAGCTGCATCGTTTGTTCAATTTCCTTCAACTGTCGCTGCCGTCCCTCAATCTCCGCATGCAATTTGCGCAGCTTCTTCTGCACCTGCTCAATGGGTCCATTAGCACCGACTCCTGCAGCGGTGGCAGTGGCGACAACGCTGCCAGCGCCTGCTGCTGCTGCTGCACTCTCCAGCGGATCGAATTCGGGCGAAACTTCAGCGCCAACCGTTGCCTGCTGGGAGGCAACGCGATTTAGCATTGCCAGTTCAGCACTGCTCAAACTGGCGCCCGGCTGTATGCTCCGGCGACGTCCTAAAAGTGATTAGAAAAAACGCAGATTAGTGAAAACAGTGAATACTTTTCCTGAAGGGATTGAATGTGGGAGAGATTAGTGATAATATTCCTCTTGTAGGTAGACGCACTTCTTGTGGGGATTTCTTCTCCGTTGGTTTTTTTTATAATAATAGTTCAATTATATATTCAAGTTTAAACCCTTTCTTAAACTTACCACCAATGCTGGCTTTTCGCTCATCACACTTTTCCAGCTGAGTGGCTGTCTCTTGGGTGGCAGGTTCGCGTTCCTTGTCCTGGCTGTGCATAACCGCTTTGGGCTGCTTGAGCATGAAGTCCTCGTGCTTGGCTTGGATCAGGGCATTCGTCTTCTCACGAAACTCAACCATGAGGCTGTCGAGCTTCTCGTCGAGATCGGGACGCTGTGACTCATTGTCGGTGTCATTGTCTGAGTTCTGTTGACAGGAGGTTTCCGGCTCACTGATGGACTCCTCGGGCTCCTCGGCCTCCTGTATGGGCACCAGCGCCTTCTGGTTGCGCAACGCTTCACTGGAACTGAGGCAATCCTCGCACTCTTGCTTCAAGAAGAGCCACTCCTCGATCTGTTCCTTCTCCAGCTCTGTCACAGCAGTTGAACCCATTAGCCTGAGAGATAAAAAAAAAATGTTATCAAGATGAGCTGCTTCAGTTTCTGGTCATCCACTCACTTGGCAAAGAGTCCCTCGGCATTGGAGACCAGTTTGAACCACTGACTGGCCGCAAACTGGAGGCCAAAGTTGTCCCCGTTGGGTGTCGAAACGGCCGCAATGAGAGCAGCTGTGGCTGCCGATGCCGTATCATTGGGCAATGCCTCCGGCGAAATGGGCGTATTGTCATCGGAGAAGGTGTTCATGATGACATAGTTGCGTACGCATTGCACCTTGAAGCCAAATTGCAGATTACCAAGTGTCTCCGACAGATTCTCCTCCAGCGGCGACACACACATAATGACCAAAGTCTGGGCACGACCCCCAAACGAGTCCTTGAGCAGTGTGGTAAGTGTTGTCTGGCCATAGGGTATGTTGCCATTGACGCCATACATAATGCTCGGATCGGTCAGTGTGTTCACCACCTGCTCGAGCATCTGCAGTCCGGCGTCGCGTGGATGTCCTGGGGGTGGCTCACCCCAACGCTCGCTGGCGCACAGATCCGAGAAACTGGCCGTGGATAAGCGATGCTGAATCATGCCCTCTTTGGACACCCACTGCTGCTCCAGCGTCAGCGTGAAGAGCGTGTGCGCTGGTGACTGTTGCTGCTTGTTGCTCAAGCCCAAGTGCAGCCAGTGGAAAACCTCCTCCACATTGGTGCAGTGCACATTGCCCATGCCCAGCAGATCGCGAATTTCGCCATTGCAAATCTCCACAAATCCCACATTGACGGCATAGGTGCGATCTAAAACAAAAGAGAAAAGATAAAGTTGTATTAAAATTGAGATTGTATTTAATAAATGTTTTCATAAGTAGTTGTTTTGTTTTGCCCACCTGAATGCGCTGCAATGTGTGTAAAGATCTCCCTAACACAACGCTGAACGACACCCTGATCCGCCTCGCCATAGACACACTCAAAGCCATGGCCATAGAGCGTAAACGTTTTGCCTGTTCCACGCTGTCCAAATGTGACCACCGAAGCATCGAATCCCTCCAGGAACAGACTGATCAGAGGGAAGACCGTCTGGTGGTAGACTTCACACTGTGTGGTGCTGCTGGGCAGCGCATGTGTCACGGGTATGGTGTGGGCGCCCACCTGTATTAGGCCCGCCGCAATGCTGTCCAGCCCCGCACCGCCGGGCAGAGCGCTGGGCAAGCCGAGTGCCGAGAGGGCGATTGGTATCGCTTGCACGCAGCAGCCATTGCCATTGGCATCGTCCGCATCTTCCTGCTCATTTGTATGCAGCTCACTGTTGCCGTTCGCATCAATTAATGTGGTCTGCGGTGGTGCTGGTGGTGTTGGTGTAGGGGACGATGGGGCAGGTGGGGGAGTCGGGGAGATGAGCTCCGATTGCGGTTTGTCTGCTGCTGCTGCTGCTGCGTCGCCATCGTCGTTAGGCGCTTTCTGCTTGGACTTGTTGAGCAGTTGTGTGTGAGGATAAATGCGCACAGCCACTTGAATGGGTATTTCCATTGTTTGATGTCGCTTTGGCAACCGTTTTTCACTTTGAATTGGGCATTTTTGTGTACGTTTCGCACATCTTAAAAAATTATTGCAAAAACTGCTGAATCGATAATGCTGCGCACTAACAACAACTATCGATATGTGACAGCGTCGAATCATCGCTAGTATCGATTAATGTCGTATTTTGTTATTTCCATATTTTCCCGAAATTGTAAGTTCATATTGTAGTTAAGTTTAAAAGGATGCACAAGCATGAACTCTTAAATAAGTAAGAATATAAGCATTTGAAATAATAACTATACATTTACATGTATTCTCTCTACACAACCTGGAATATTCTGTGTATACAAATGTGCCTAATTTGATATCAATTATACGTTTGCAACGACAAAACAACAGAGAGGGAATACGCCTCACATTTAAATATTTAAAAAACAATCGATAATCTGTTCAATAATTCACTGGCGATAGTTGCAGTCACCCCTCGTTGTATTTATCGCTTTTCACGTTGCTTTTCAGCGCGTGTTTTTTTGTGCATAAATTGTTTGCTACGAGTTGTGCACTTTAACCAGCCGAAAAGATGTCGAAGCGACGCATTGAAGTGGGCGAGACATACCCCAACAAGTCCAAGAAGTGAGTACAAGTCGCAACAAGCGATTTTCAGTTAATGCGCAGTTTTAACCAAAACGTTTACCTCCATCGGCCATTTGCAGGGAATCGGAGGCTTCTTCATCGGCGGCAACTAATTCAGCCGCTGGCACCGTTGCCCAAATTCTAGGCGGCTTTGTGCCCAGCAAACAGGTGAGTTTCAAGATATTCCAGCCACTAATAAAAACATTCATACTTAATTTGTTATTTATTTTTTATGTTCTTGTGGACAGCCTCCAACGATGAATCCCTTCACACACAAGCCTTACTCGACCCGCTATCAAAACTTGTACAAGAAGCGCATATCGCTGCCCGTCTTCGAGTATCAAGCGGACTTTATGCGACTGCTCAGTCAGCATCAGTGCATTGTGCTCGTGGGCGAGACGGGTTCGGGCAAGACGACACAGATACCGCAATGGTGTGTGGACTTTGCAGTGTCGAAAGGACGCAAGGGGGTCTCCTGCACACAGCCGCGTCGTGTGGCCGCCATGTCGGTGGCGCAGCGTGTCTCCGAGGAGATGGATGTGAATCTCGGCGAGGAGGTCGGCTACTCTATACGTTTCGAAGATTGCTCGTCACCCAAAACGCTGCTCAAATACATGACGGATGGTATGCTGTTGCGTGAGGCGATGTCGGATCCCATGCTGGATCAGTATCAGGTCATATTGCTCGACGAGGCGCACGAGCGTACACTGGCCACCGATATACTGATGGGTGTGCTCAAGGAGGTCATTCGTCAGCGCAATGATCTCAAATTGGTGGTGATGTCGGCGACACTCGACGCTGGCAAATTCCAGCAGTACTTTGACAATGCCCCACTTATGAATGTGCCCGGACGCACGCATCCCGTCGAGATATTCTACACACCAGAGCCAGAGCGTGACTATTTAGAGGCAGCCATCCGTACAGTCATCCAGATACACATGTGCGAGGAAATTGAAGGTATGCATTCCAATTTGTAAACTACTACCATGAGCCCAGTTAATAATCGATAATCTCTGCCAAACAGGAGACATTCTGATGTTCCTCACGGGCCAGGAGGAGATCGAGGAGGCATGCAAACGCATCAAGCGCGAAATTGACAATTTGGGCTCGGAGACCGGTGAGCTGAAGTGCATCCCATTGTACTCAACGCTGCCACCGAATCTGCAGCAGCGTATTTTCGAAGCGGCACCGCCACCAAATGCAAATGGCGCAATTGGCCGCAAAGTTGTCGTATCGACAAACATTGCAGAAACATCACTGACCATTGACGGCGTTGTGTTTGTCATTGATCCGGGCTTTGCCAAGCAAAAGGTGTACAATCCACGCATACGTGTCGAGAGTCTGCTCGTCTCACCGATATCGAAGGCATCGGCCCAGCAGCGGGCGGGTCGTGCTGGACGTACACGGCCGGGCAAATGCTTCCGCCTGTACACGGAGAAGGCGTTCAAAAATGAAATGCAGGACAACACATATCCAGAAATCTTGCGTTCCAATTTGGGTAGGTCATCATTTGCCTTTTTCTCTGACTTTCATTTATTAATTTTGATTTGTTTATTAGGCACCGTTGTGCTGCAGCTCAAGAAACTGGGCATTGATGATTTGGTGCACTTTGATTTCATGGATCCGCCGGCGCCCGAAACGCTTATGCGTGCCTTAGAGCTGCTCAACTATCTGGCCGCCCTCGACGATGATGGCAATCTGACTGATTTGGGCGCAGTCATGTCCGAGTTTCCACTGGATCCACAATTGGCCAAAATGCTGATAGCCAGCTGTCAGCACAACTGCTCCAATGAGATACTCTCAATAACGGCTATGCTGTCGGGTGAGGCACTAACTAAATGCGCTCCGTAATTAAGTTGAGCTTCCATAGTTGTAGAGCTGAGCATGCTCACTTTACAAGTCAGTTGTTGTCTGGGTTGTCCCTTAAATTGAAAAGTAGCTAGCTTTTACTTTTGCTTAGGATGGGTCTTGCTATTTATAACACAACGACATTAGCTGCAAGTGGCGCGCAAAAGATTCAAGTTTCAAGCCACTTGCAGCTAATAGGTTTGTGCAATTATTACTTAAGTCTTCCTGACAATTACTTTGACGTACTTTGACCGCACCCCATTTAATGTTATTTCTAGTGCAAAGAAAAAAGTTTTTTCAATTTATTTGTTCTTTGCATTCAACACTAAAGCAAAGTTGCACGTGCGTGTTCCACCTCAAATGCGCACATTTCCTTATTGAACATTGAAATGTGATGCGTGGCACACTCTCAAGTATTAAAAAAAATAATATTTAAAAAAAGCGCCTACTTAGCTTAATAACTGCCACTGGCTTTGAACGCACATGCAACTCACAAATGCAATCGAATCTTTAAATCAAGCCTCTAGATTGCCTAGCTGACAAAATGCAAGCACAATCTATTTGTTTATGTAAAAAAAAAAATGAAAAAAATACGTTATGAATTTGCGCTTAATCGAACAAAAACACACCAATTCAAACATCAACATAAAAGTGCCACAATGTTTCGTGCGACCGAATGAGGCAAAGAAGGTGGCCGACGAGGCCAAGATGCGCTTCGCACACATCGATGGGGATCATCTAACGCTGCTGAATGTCTATCATGCCTTCAAGCAAAGTGAGTATCTAACTAACTAATACCCTACATATCGATGTAAATGAATATATATATAAATATGTCCAATCCGTTAATAGGCAGCGAGGATCCGAACTGGTGCTACGAGAACTTTATCAATTTCCGATCACTCAAGAGCGCCGACAATGTGCGTCAGCAACTGGCGCGAATTATGGATCGTTTCAATTTAAAGCGCTCCAGCACAGAATTCACATCGAAGGATTACTATGTGAATATACGCAAGGCTCTGGTGCAGGGCTTCTTTATGCAGGTAGCGCATTTGGAGCGAACTGGTCACTATCTGACCATCAAGGATAACCAGAATGTGCAGCTACATCCGTCGACATGTCTGGACCACAAGCCCGACTGGGTCATCTACAATGAGTTTGTGCTGACCACGAAAAACTACATACGCACAGTGACAGATGTGAAGCGTGAGTGGCCTCAAATTCCCCTTTTATCCACATAGCTAATCACATTTTCTTCTTGCGTTATTCCAGCGGAGTGGCTGCTTAGTTTGGCGCCTCAGTACTACGATCTGAATAACTTTCCACAGTGCGAGGCCAAGCGGCAGCTGGAGCTGCTCCAGCAGCGCATGGAGACGAAACAGTATCAGAAGGGTTTCTGAGTAACCGATCGACTTTTTAAACAAATAGCTTAAACAATATTACAAATGAAATCTAACCATTTTGTGCGTTTAAGTAGCAATCTGATGCTAATGTGCTTAATTGTTCCAATTGAAAATCGGTTTGGTATATATAATCACATAAAAAGTTTTCTCTTTATTATTTGCCTACGCAATTACAAAACATAAACACACATCTAAGAATTCCGTTTAGTGTTAATAAAAAAAGCAACCTTTTGTATAACTAACAAAATATGCGTTCAAAATTGCCACAAATGGTCGACGAGCTTCAACCATTCGTCTTTTGGAACTGGAATAGTATGACCAAATAGGTAGCTATAGCCGAGGCAAACTGTAAGAAATCGTTTTAGGCAAACATAAGAAAACGTGTAAAAATCGAATGTGGTCGGTTATATTTTTAACTTGGCAATAAACTTACCGATGTCAAAATGGTGCGATTAACGCGACACAATCCGCTGGCCGAGAAATCAACATCGACGGAGAGCAATTGCTGCCAGAATTTCTTGGTCTCTTCGGCCAGAATGGGCTCGTAGACTTTGCGCTCAATTTCGCAGACAATTCGAATAGTTTTGCGGGACTCGCGTGCGGCCAGGTGACAAGGCTCCACGACCATTAGAAGCCGCAGAGTGTGAAAGAGTATCCAGAGCATCTGTACCCACATATAGCCGTTGTATCGCTTGTTCACGATCTCGAGGAACAGAAAATAAGCGGTCGCAACCAAGTGCAGCAGACAGGAGACGAGTATAAATAATACAGCAATGCCATAGGAACTGAAATAGTTACAGAAAGCGTAAGCATAATATTCATGTCAATGTGAGAATGCCCACCTCGAAAGTAGCCTTACACATTTGGCCAACGACTCGTGATTGTCGGCCATGGCTCGAATAAGTAGACTCTTGCCCTTAGCTGAAACAGAAGATGATGCACCTTGTACACGTTGGATGATTCAGTATTTAATACAACTTACACGCCGATTCGTTGGCTAATGTCTCCGTGTTCAACTTAGTTAAGCTCGCGTGCAAAGCCCTTGGCTTGAAACTAATCGTTTTAACCGAACTTACCTTAACCAAATACGATTTGTCTGCAATTATCAATTCTCAATGGACACTCAGCAAGAATGGATAACATTCAAATTAAACTAAAATGATTTAAAGTCTATCTAATAAAAAAAAACTACTATTTTGTCTACGATACGAAAGCATACAACAAAATTATGATTTTACGATCGAGATAGAAAAGTTTTAACAACGATGACGAATATGCTTTTCAAAGAATACAATTTGCTCTGATTTGTATATTTATTCTAATTGAAAATAAAATCAATCTTTTAGTATTACTATTTTACCAATTAATGCAAATTTCTCTCTGATTGTAAAAGATCAACTTTTCTCAAATTTGTGAAATTTTCATTTAAAATCAATTCGAGTTTTTAAAATAAATAAATATTCTTGTACGGAATGTATTGTTATGCTTACCACCGAGATAGCTAGTTCTTAGCATCAGATTAAGACGGCCATATCGTCTACCCAATCCGTAGGCTGTATTGGCGAAATTGATGTGCAGACCGGTCAGTACAAAGTAGAGACTGTAGAAGGGTATATACCACTGTACGTTGAGATCTGGGGATACTTTAGAGTGAGTTGAATAGCTAATTGTGCAGCACATTAATTCAATAAGCCATTCCCTACCCGTATCAGATGAGTTACTGTTCATTTCCTGTGCCATACGCATCCAGGTATTCACATCCAGGCCAAGGAGTATTCCAATGACGATCAGGGAAACACTCGCCATTCCATGAGCCCTCCAGCGATCGCGCCTGAAATTATTGTACTGGCTAAGAGTGCTGTCGATCCTCTGTAGTCGGGTGTTCAGCTTCTGTGTGGCACGTAAGCCAAACACACCACAGTAGACACCCGCTACGACGGCCAACACCACAACAGATACATCAGCGGCTGTAACCACTTTCGATGTCGCCGATTTCATTCTGAAAGAAGCGCTTTTGATTTTTTTGATAATATTTAAATGAGTATTCTTTCAAGTGATTGAATTAAGGAACACTGATTTGAATACATTCACAAACACAAACACTGTGGACGTCTACACACATATGCAACAGGATCAAAGGAACATCACTTGCAAGAACATAAATCGTTACACATTTCAATTATAGGTTTAAGTAGTGCAATTAGACCTGTTAACTAAATAAATACCAAAGCTTAATTAAACAACATTTTTTATTTGCAAGACTTTTATTTCGAAGTTCAAAGAATTATAAGAAAGTGATCGCAATATTGTAGTTTGTTAGCGACTACATCGTTCATCGCCTTTTAGAACTGCTCGACTTCCAAATTCACAGGATCAGCTACAGGGATCGCCTCACGAACAAGCCGGGCATAAGGCCTAAAAGTCGGTCGTGGAAGATATGGGGGCCTCTCATGTGCCAGAGCCATTGCGAAGAGCGACAGCAGCAGGATAACAATTGAGAAGTTCATTCTGATTGGATTGACAAAACTTGATTGATGCTGTTCGATTTGAATGCAGCTGATTTTATAGGCAGCAAATTATCAATGGGGTTTTATTGGACCGGTGATTTTTTGATATAGATTAAAATGCAATGTGCATAATCATTACTTGTATGAAATAATAGAACAACATAATCTTTGACATTTTGAATCAATAATAATAATAGATGTATATATGATATGTGTCTTTGTGAACCACCTCACAAAATTCCCCTTACGTTAAAGTCGGCTCAGTTTAATGCCGATAAGACCTCGACTTATAATCGCTGACGAGACGGATTACCAATTTGTGTGCGAGGTCACGCATTTCCTTGACTCGAAGCATCAACCGCAATGTATGTAAAATGTAAACCCCAAAAACGTGACAAAAAGTACCACCAAATTTGAAAACAGCCAACTGTCAATCAATTGCTGTCAATACTAGTTGAATAAACATTTTACTTGTTCTCCTGCTGCTCACAAAAATAACGTATCAATATAGCAATTTAAAATGTCCCCTGGAACCAAGTCAACTAAACGCTGATAAGACTTCGACCTATTTTCTCTGGTAACCGCATAATTAATTAGTAGTTCACATATTTCCTTGTCTTGAAGCATAAACTGTAAGCCCCCAAGCGAAAATCACCGGATTTTTATGTAGAAAGGCACTGCTATAAAAGCAGTTGTATTCAAATCGAACAGCATCAATCAAGTTTTGTCAATCCAATCAGAATGAACTTCTCAATTATTTTCCTGCTGCTCTCGCTCTTCGCTGTGGCGCTGGCTTATGAGAGGCCTCCATATCGTCCACGACCCACTTTCAGGCCTTATTCCCGGCTTGTTCGTGAGGCAATTCCTGTGGACAACACTCTCAATGTGGAAACTCAGCAGCTCTAGAAGTCAAGGACAAATCCAGGACTCCATCAGAATGGCGACATATATATTTAAAACTTGTAAAATGTATCATCTCATCATCTTTGGATCCAGTTTCAAAGAATTGCTATTCTAATAAACCATGTCCTTCGAAAATCTGCTGTTATTTTTAATTATGTCAAAATTATATATTGCTACAAATTTTTCAACAGTGGTCCGATTTCGAGATCTTTAGTTTAATACTGCAGTTAAAGACGTAAAGATGAATATAGCTTAAAATGTTATCCCAAAAACTGCCTTTAGGAAACGAACCATTCTTTCTAGAGCCACAACTTTTTCAATAGAGATCCGGTTTTCAAAAACTTTATCTTTTTGGTCAACGTTTGATCTCTAGAATAGTACTATTCCTAATTTTGGAAACGCGGTTCTAACTCGCTAATCATGTTAAAATTGTAACCTGAAAAAATTCCTTTAGAGTCGTTTCAGAGTTTCTAGAGCCAAAACTTTGTCAAAAGTGGTCTGACTTTTAAAAACGAGGGTTCTTAATTCCTTATTTCATCTCTAGATTAATACTGCATTTAAAGTTATATACGCAATTCTGTCTGCATTTTCATGTTAAGATTATACCATCAAAAAATTAGCACAGCCACAGCAATATTTTGATTTTTGCTTGGACTGCATTTAAAGTTCTCAACACGATATGAGAAATAATATTCCAAAATAATATATAGAGATGAGTTGAAACTTTACAGAGCCACAATTATTACAGAGCCACAATTATTAAATACAAATGGATTTTCAAAATCATTGGATTCTGATAACGCATATAAATTAGTAATTTCTATCCCAACAAATTTACTATCTCAAACCGCCACTATTTTGTCATTCTGTAAGGGTATAGATATTATTTAGATTTTGTAAACATTTTTTTAGCTAATACACTTTTTTTTATTTATTTTAAGATATAAAATTGGAAATATTATGAAATCAGCTCAGGGCTGACGTGTATCCACAGAACTAAAAGTGGTTCGTGGATTACGCGTCCTCTCATGGGCCAAAGCCATTGCAAGGAGAGACAACAGCAGGATTACAATTGAGAAGTTCATTCTGATTGGATTGACAAAATGTGTCTGATGCTGTTCTACGGGAATCCAGCTGCTTTTATAGGCACCCAATTGATAATAAGGTTGTATTCACCCAGTGATTTAAGATTAGAGATTAGAGATTATAGTACGTGACTTGAATTGCATATTTATGTAGGGTATTAAATTTTCCTTATCTCTTAATTGTCAACTAGAATATTTAAATAGAATTCATAACATTTCCAAAACAAATATTATTTATATTTTGCGCACATTTATTGGTAAACACTTAGTTTGAACATTTAAAATTGTGATAGAAGCAGTGATACATCAGCTTGATTCTGGTATCCGCATCTAGAGCTGCTGGGTTTCCACAGGAACAGGCGGAAGTGCCTCACGAACAAGCCGGGAATAAGGCCTGAAAGTGGGTCGTGGACGATATGGAGGCCTCTCATAAGCCAGCGCCACAGCGAAGAGCGAGAGCAGCAGGAAAATAATTGAGAAGTTCATTCTGATTGGATTGACAAAACTTGATTGATGCTGTTCGATTTGAATGCAGCTATTTTATAGGAACCCAAATCATAATGGGGGTTTTATTCGCCTGTGATTTTTTCAAGAGAATTCAGTACGTGACTTGAATTATATGTGTATGCGCACTAGAGACTTATATAAATTATTACTTATTTATATTCGTATCACTTAAAAATTATATACAGATGGTGTTGCATTTTCTTTATCTCTCAATGGTCAATTATATTACTTAACTATAATCAATAAAAACAATGGCTATATTGAAATTCTTTGAGTGCCAAGTGCTGAAGAGTACTAGGTCATTTAACCTTTACACGGATACTATTTAAATCCATCATACTTTATCTTAAATCCTCAAACTAAGGTTTAATGGAACCTAAAACAAAAATAACGTATCTTTCGATATTGGATGGAAATTCAATATACATCAATAATAAGTATACGTACACAATATACCAATTTAAAATTTCCCCTGAAAACAAGTCAACTAAACGCTGATAAGACTTCGACCTATTTTCTCTGGTAACCGCATAATTAATTAGTAGTTCACATATTTCCTTGTCTTGAAGCATAAACTGTAAGCCCCCAAGCGAAAAGCACCGGATTTTTATGTAGAATAGCGCTGCTATAAAAGCAGCTGCATTCAAATCGAACAGCATCAATCAAGTTTTGTCAATCCAATCAGAATGAACTTCTCAATTATTTTCCTGCTGCTCTCGCTCTTCGCTGTGGCGCTGGCTTATGAGAGGCCTCCATATCGTCCACGACCCACTTTCAGGCCTTATTCCCGGCTTGTTCGTGAGGCAATTCCTGTGGACAACACTCTAAGTGTGGAAACTCAGCAGCTCTAGAAGTCAAGGACAAATCCAGGACTCCATCAGAATGGCGACATATATTATTTAAAACTTGTAAAATATATCATCTCATCATCTTTGGATCCAGTTTCAAAGAATTGCTATTCTAATAAACTATGTCCTTCGAAAATCTGTAGTTATTTTTTATTAGTTCTATTAAACCTACTCTTCTGAGTCAACCTAAAAGTATGCAGTAAATTTGTTAATATTCTTAATCAGTGCTTCACTTGTGATTTTATATTTCAGCCTAAGAATATGCACCAGGAATTATAAAACAAGCAGATTTTTATATCCTTGTTTAATTCTAACATCGAATAGCATATGAAAAATACAATTTGTTATTTACTTACCGAACTGGTATTTTTGAATTTGCATCGAAAAGAAGTCCGCGATAGGTTAGAAAAACTAAATCAAAGAGATTTGATTCGAGTACTCCAAAATGCCAGTTTCAATTTGAAATACTAACCCATGATGACACACAAGCACACCGAATAAATTGTAAATATCCAACTACGACGAATTTCCAGTTGACCCTTGGAATTCTTTTTCGCTGAATATGGCGCTAGGGCCAAAATTTTGCTAACATAAAAAATACCAATGCTTGGCTCCGATACTTCCATGACTGAGAATTTTCACAAACTTTAGCACTCGAGCACTCGACTATAACTGAGTTGCTGTTCCGGAACTTCAACAAATAACATGCCTGCGAAAAGGGCATTTGACACTGAACAAATAATGCACTCCCGTGTTTGACAATTATTAGTCGCAGACAGCCTAAGTGAAAAATGCTAAGGCCACCCTTTATCCGCACGTGGCGCATATGTGCAAATTGTTTACTATAGTTTTGTCTACCCTTATAACTGCTGTAAATAATAATTAGCGTGTACGAAACGTCAATCAATTAAAGATATAGGAGCCAATTATAGTTCGGCACAAACACATTCTGAGTTTGTGAATGAGTGCGGAATAATATGAATGGCAAGGGTAAATAAACGCTACCGACAATTGTCACGCCATTTGCGAGTGCTGAATAAATATGGCTTGTGATTTTATTGTTACAAACATTCCTGGCCAAATACAACTTTAAGTTCTCAAATAAGACCAAAAAACAAAAATAAGAAAAACATTTCAAAAATTACTGGCAATAATTGCAGATAAATCCGATAAGCAAATGAAATTAATGCGATTATGGTAACAGATACAAATCTCAGTTTCTATTAGTTCGGTACGGTATGGGCATTGAAAATCTCAATCCAGTAGCCATCGGGATCCTTGATGAAAGCCAAACCCTTCATGCGACCATCGTCGGGCTTCTTCACAAAGTCAACGCCATGCTCCTCAAAGCTATAAATGAAAATAAAGATGATTATACAAAAAAATGAACATTTCAGCAGTCAGATTATGGACGCACCGCTTGCAGGCAGCATAGACATCGGGTACCATCAGTCCGATGTGTCCAAAGCCACGTGGGTCGCTATTCCCAGTGTGATAGCTTTGATCCGGATCGCTTTCAGTGCCCCAGTTGCTGCAAATAAATAACAAATAATCACAAACCATGCAGGAACAGCAATTTATTAAAATAAAGCACTCACTGCGTTAATTCAATGGTGGCCTTGCGACTCATTGCCCAGCTCCTGCGCTCTTTGGGATCTTTGGGCACGTCGGCAGGGTTCTCATAGCTACAAGAAAAAACAACAAAAACGTGTTCATTGCGTTAATCAGAAGATAAGTACTTGCCACTTGAACATACCCCATGAAGTACAGCGAGAACTTTGCCTCTGGAAAGTCCAATTTAACCAGCAGCGTCATACCCAAGACGCCTGTGTAGAAGGGCAGAGATTTGCGTGGATCCTTGATGCGATACATGGTTTGCTGGAACAGGAAATCCTATCGAGAAGCGGACGCAGGTTATATCTTACAATTTCACAGATTTCGTTTATCTTCGACTCACCTTTGTGGAGGCATCTTGTTTTTGACAAAGCTCGTCAGCTTCGGCATTGGTCAGGCCGGTAACATCGCCCATTTTACTACAAAAAATTCACTTGTTGATACCGGTTCGCGAAATTTCCAAATACTTTATTTCTTGCAATTTCACGTTTTGCTTGACAAAATTTCGCACAGCTGTTTGTTGATGAACAGCTGTTCGCTCAGCTGGGCGCCCCATTAATTATTTGCAACAACTACCGTTCTTTATTGTTCAATTTAGTTTTTTGCTCTATTGTGTTTTGCATAAATCCACTACAAAACTGTTGATATATTTAAAAAATGTTGGAAGTTTATGCTTTTGGCGATATTGTATTATTGATATCGATAGCTCATGTGTGCTTTGCTAGTGTTGCGCAACGTTCATTTTCAAACAATTTGCCGTTCCAGAATCAAATCGGTTAACGACAATGTCGATAACTGGGCTAACAGGACACAATTGAGAATAAATACACATATTTAATGTAGTATATATATAAATAGGTCTATGTTCGTTCACTTTATTAAATTGTAATCGGCATTCAAAGCTGCATAACCTTTCATCGGATTTCTTCGTCTATATTTATTTACATTGTAAAGGCATTATTAAGGCCATGTCTCTATGTGTATGATGTTTTGTTTGTTCTTACTTATTATTTACATAACGTTGCATTTGTCATTGTATTGATTTGTTTGACTGTTTTGTGGTCTTGTCATTAGAACTAATTTAACTGTTACTTCCGATCCGATCCGATCTTTGTTAGGTATTCGGCATCGTTATCTCAATTTTGTATGGTATGTGTATATACTTTGTTTGTATGCATTAATATTTGTATGTATATGTATATATATATAATAATAATAATAATAATAATAATATATATAGCGTATATTTGCTTATCAATTAAACTACTTTGCTTTGAATTCATTGTAATAGTTGAATAATTCCCATTCTTATATATGTAATTAGAATTAGTTGTAGGCATACATTGTGCTTATGATTATCAGAATCCTTTTGTTGTTTGTTTGTTTGTTGTTATTAAGTTCCTCTTTGATATAATGTCTAGAAAACAAATTTCTATGGCGTGAAAATCAATCAACATGCAATTTTACCCGTTACAATAGAATTATTATTAATTGTACAAAAATAATTGTATTATTCTCAAGATGTAGACGTTTCGGCTGTTGGTCGTTTTGCTTCTGGATGGTACTTTACAAATGCGTTCTTTCTTTATCTTCTGATTCTTGGCAAATTAAATGCTATTACAAAAATGTTGTATTGTGTGAACATTCTTTGTGTTTTTGTTGTTTTTTTTTTTTAGTTTTTTAGTGCATTTCTCCATTTGGAAGGAGCTGAATTTTGAGTGTAGTCGTCATTTGCACCTCAAAATCCTAAGGCATTCCATTCAGAGTGGCATGCAACTGTTATGTGTGTTATGTGTCTGTTAGTATGAATCTCGTGTGCATTGTAAATATGCTGTATAATTGTACAATTTGGAGTATGTAAGTATCTATGAAAACAGTTTAATTTTATATGAAACAAGAAGCACGGTGATCATCGTTCATTCAATGCATATTTATTTCTCTTTTCACATCATTTTCTTTTTGCTTTTAATTATTGCAAGCACATAACAAAATTATAATAATAATAGTTATTACAAATTAATTAAAAAAATTACAAATAAATTCAAATAAAACATGAGCTAAAAACATAGATGTCTTCATACCGCACAGTAGTTAACGTGAACTAAAAAATGAGGGCGCTAGCAATTTAAATACTAAATACTTGTAATATACGCTAACAAATAATTGAAAATTAAACATAAAACTTTTGATTGCGTAACAATGACAAATGAAGTCGCATATACAATTTAAATAAACTTGACTAAAACGAGCGAAGCGAATAATAATAATAAAAAAAAAAGTACAAAGCATTAACTAATGTACAAGTTACACATATGCGTTGTTTTTTTCTTTTTCATGTATTATTTTGTTTTTGTTTTATACTCTTGCTTGTTGTCCGTCTCTTTTGGTGTTTGGTGTTGTCAAATTGTATTATATCTAAATGTTAGCTGAAAATTGCTTAGAATAAAATGCGTAATTAATGGCAAAAATCCGCTGTGGTCATTTTTTGTTATCGATTTTTCTTTTCACTTAACAATTACATGTGTATGTATGTGTGTGAGTTGTGTGTGTGTGTGTGTTGTTCCACTAGAAACTAAATAATTTTTTGTTGTCCTCTGTATGTATCTCTATAAATATTGCGCGCGCTCTTCAGGACTCTCCAACAAGTTTCACATAACCTTTGATTTCATTTTAAAATTAATGTACATTGAAATATTGGCAAACGTACGTTTAGAATTACAATTATGCTTACATTGTTGTTGATTTTTTCGTTTGTTTTTGTTTCTGTTTTTTTTCTTTTTGCTTTCAATGTTCTCCAGCACATTTTGGAAGTTGTACAAATAATGTTACAAATTAATTAGTATTTATATGTATGTTTGTATGTGTGTTGTGTATGCGTTATCCATAGAACTAAGAATTTATTTATAAAAATTTCACTAGCAATTAAATTCACCATTCAATAATTTCAACTTAATTAAAAACGCAGAGAGAATGAATATCAATATTATAATATTGTGTTTGTTATAGTTTTTTTCTTTTTTGTTTTCGTTTTATGCGGATATTAGTTGTAGTTTTTTTTAAAGTACTCAAACGAAGGCATATAGATTAAAACTAAATGTTATATTATTAAAAAACGACTAATCGTCATCATCATCGGACGAATTGGAGGACAATTGTAGATCGTTTTGTAGCAAATCATTAGGAAAGCCACCGTTGGACGCATAAATGCCGGACTGTTGCTGCTGCTGTTGTTGCTGCTGTTGCTGTTGATGATGATGATGCGAGTGCTGCTGTGGCGGCTGCTGCTGTTGCTGCTGATGCTGATAATGACTGTTGTATGCCGGCGAAATGGAACCCAAACCCAAATTGGGCAGTTGATGCATGTGTTGTTGCTGCTGTTGATGTTGCTGCTGCATTTGATGATGCTGCTGTTGATGCGTCGCCGAATTTTGCTGCTTTTGTTGTGTGGGACGATCATCATCGGTGCTATCATCAGAATCGCTGCCACTGTCAGTGTCGCTGGAATCGGACTCGGAACTAGAGCTGGATGCACTCGGCTCGCCGCCAATTTGCTATAAATATACAAATGAGATTAGGGATATTTTCAAGCACACACCAATAATTAAACCACAAACCTGCTCCAGCACGGCAGCCGCCTGCGCCACGGACTGCGTGACATGGTCATGATGACTGGGCGAATTTATATCCAAGGGCATGCTATTGCTATGATTGCTATGGCTGAAAGATGCGCGTTGCTGTTGCTGCTGATGTTGTTGCTGCTGCTGCTGCATTTGCTGCTGATGTTGCTGTTGTGCATAGTTGCTGCTGCCGCCAACACGACCATAGTTTTGCTGCTGCTGCTGTTGATTTTGATGTTGCTGATGATGCATGGGAGGGCTGGAGCGTTGCTGAGTCATTTGCTGCCGCTTGGCATGTCCTTGCGGCAGTGCCTGTCTCTGTTTACCCATGTGCGACGACGACACATAATCTGGCTGGCCGCTGGAGGAGCCTGTGGAGGAGCCCGAAATATTCGCATGGCCGCCACCATTGTGCAAGGCGGCGTTCAGGCCAAAGTCATCATCGTCCGTTATCATTGGTATGCTGGGCAATGTTTGTTGCGCATTGTTCGCATGCCAGCTAAATAAAATATAAATAAACACACATAAATATCGAATAACTAATGGCGAAATGGTTACATGGAAAACTTACGCGGGCGCCGACTGTGGACTGCGATGCGAAACCACTGGACGTGAGGGTGAGCTTTGTTGCATTGGCGAATTACGTGGCTTGAAATCGACTGAAAGATATAGATAGATAGCTCTCGTTAATGGAAAATCTAGTTTAAGCTCAATTTAATGGAACTTACTTATGTTGTTCCGGCGACTGCCCGTCGACACTTTCGTTTTGGATGATATGCGCATGGTGCTGTTCTCCAATTTGGGCGCCGTTCCGGAACCTGATCCCGCCGCTGCCATCATTGAGGACGGAATGGGGCCACCACCATTGGCGCCAGACATCAGCGGTCCAGCATTTGCAGCAGGCATCAAGCTTGGCTTGTTTGTCATTTCGCTTCTGCAAGAAGCAAGCAGAGTTTTACATTGTTGACTAAAGTGGATCAATATGCATTTGCATTTACTTACCTTGTCTTCTTCACTTGTATATTGTGATTTAGCTTCTCTAATGTGATAACACCCGTTTCCTTGTCGTAAATGATTAGGCATTCTTTTGTATATTTTTTGTGATTACCCTTATAAACTGTATGAGGCACACCGGAACTTTCTGCAAATGGATAAATGAATGCAAATTTATTTAGCAAATGTGGATTTCTTTCGGATGACTCAATCAATTTATCATGTTTAAATAAAAATCTTAACTTTTTTATTTGCTTTTTTTATTCCTTAAAAAACAAAAAAAAAAATTAAAAAGTGAATGTAAATTAGTATCGGAAATTAACACGATGACTTAAATATAATCCAATAAGTATGTACATATATTAATATGGGAGTTTTAACGTCACCTAAATTAAAATGAATAGCAGTATTGTTCTGAGTTGAAAGGCAAACAAAATCAGAAATATTTCAAGCATTTAAGTGCTTAATTCAATCCGTACTTGATGTGTTAAGCCAATGCCCCAAGAAGTAATTGAAATGGAAGAAACTATGATTATATTCTTTTCTTTTCTTTCATTTGTGTCCAAATGAACTATTCAATATTTTTAAGCAGATATGTGTGTATACAGATGTATCTAGATACATATGTATCTGCTTATTTATTTTGACGCGGGAGTGTTCTCAAGTGTGTTTTTATAGCAACTTCAGCTCAATGCGTTAATTTTGTAAGAGTCTTAGGTCTGTCGTTGTGAGTAAAGAGTAAAAAACAAAGCTATCGTACGATAAGAAAACCGCATAAGATAAGAGAAGAAGCAAATAAATTTATAAGATTTACGAAAGGCAAGAATGGAATATTTCTGTAATATTTCACAAGTGAAACATACTCACAGGAAACAAAAAAAAAACTCTTTCTACTTTCTTACACAGTGTAAATCACATTTTTAAAAGAAACCTCAAAGCTGAAGCAGCTGTTCAAACAAAATAATTAACTGATTACTGCAAACAATTAAATAAGTAACTCAAATAAAATCAAATATAAGCACATTTGTATATACTGATACACATGCCAACAGAAGGCAGACATTCAGGGGAGCACACAGAGAGATAAACAGAGAAACAAAAAAACACAAGGCAAGGCTGTTTGCTTGTCTGCAACTGTTTTTTTTTTTTGTTTCTTTCGATTTATTTTATTTATTTGTTTGACTTGAACTCTTTGTGGTGTTGTCGAGTGTAATTGTTGTTTTTTCTCTTTTTTTGCATGTGTGTGTCTGGGTGCTTTTTTTCGCTGCCTTTCGCCTGTTGAATAATCTCGCTCTTGTTGCGGTTGTTGTTCAGCTCACCGTTTGAAATGCACAGTGGAGTGCAGTGACTGCAAAACCTCAGCCAACAACTAACACGGTGCACAAAGTCAAAAAGCAATAAAATGAAAGCGTGCGCCAAGCAACAACTACAACAGCAACAACAACAACAAACGCAAACAAAAACAGAGCAACGAAATCGTATATCGAAATCCGGTTGTGCTTTTGGAATTTGTTTTGTTGTTACAAGTAAATGGCATTAATGTGTGTATTTAGATACGTGTGTCCAACTATGCATGCTGCTAAATAATCATTTTAAAGTGCAGCTATCACTACCAGGTGACAACTGCAAACTGTCATTCTTCACTCCACTCCCCACCACCTCCATTCTTATTTTGTTGTTGCACTGCTTTTACAGTTTTGTGTTTATTTTTTGCATTTAAGTCTAATGCATTAGGGCATATTTAGCGCTTCATTTTAGTGTAAAAGAATGAAGATAAAGACTTGCAGCTAGCGCTATAAATTGTGTTCACTGTTTATTGGTAATGAACTTGCACCGCCCTATCAGCTTATCGTAAACACAAAAACCAATACACACTCACACAAACACGCTGTGAAAAGAACGAAATTCTGTGGTGCGCATGCCGTCGGCGTGGCAAAAATTAGTAAGGAGAGGTCTGCTCCCACACACACACACGCACACGTGTTGCGGGGGCGGGCTCTTGCAAGTGCAATCGAGAACAGCTGGCCGAGAATCAAAACTGCCGTTAGTTTTGTGTCTCTCCCTCCCTCCATCTCTCTCTCTCTCTCACGCTGCCTCTTTCAAAAAGTCAAATGTAAATGTATACATATGTTTATATATATATACATATATATGTAAGTAGCAAACGCAACGAAAAAAGCTATGGAAAAATTCCACAATAAAATGCAGAACGACGACGTGCCAAAAACGACATATAGAAAGAAATAAGAAGAAATCAAAAGAAATGAGAAGACGATGCGAAGCTTCTGTCGTTTGCTGTTCGGCGTTGCCACTTGTCAAATAATTGCATAATAGACGAGCTGAGCAATATTCATAACGGTATCTGAACTACCAAAGAATGTGCATTAAATATACATATAGCAAAGGGAGTTGTTCAGATTGAGCCACCCGTTTTCTTCTGTTTTTTTTTTCTGCAGCTGATAAGAAACGGAATAAGCAGTTGCGCTCTTATCAATTTCATGCAAAGAAAACGTTGATGAACCAGCTATTGTTTAATTAGCATATCTATGGGAAATTCTAAATAAAATTGCGATGAGCAGCTCAAAGTTCAAATTCTTGACGCGAAATTGCAATAAAAAAGCGAAAAGCCAAAGAGTTCTTTGTTTGTACGTGCTCGAAATGCTGTTCTTCAACGTTACTCAATGAAATGGAATTATTTTCAATGGTTTAACAGTACACTGCCTCATACCTAATATAATATAATATAGTATGGCACATTTTGTGCAACGATTCCGGCATCTATGCCATCAATATATAAATTGAAATGCTCTTAACTAAATAAGTACACTTGACCGTTTGTTGCCGGCAAAAACTTTGGCTACACCGTGGCACAGTCAACGAAGCATTACCTAAACCAACTTAGTTGTAATGGAGCACAACAATAAAAGAGACAACGGCAACAACGGCAACAACAACAACTGCGCCTGTCTGGCCACAAAGAGCATAGCGAAATGAATAAAAAAAAACCTGAACGCTCGGCTGCATTTTGCCTGATTTGATGTAATTTAGTTTCTTTACCTCAGCCGGCGGCTACCTTTTGTGCTTATTGCTATAGCTATATACCCTGTACTTGTACAAATGTGGTATATACATGCAGAATTGTCAAATAATTGACACTATAAATAATTATTTATTTATGACATATATGTTTCCAAATCCCATTTAGGGAATGCTTCAACTTTTCCAAAGCCATAACTTTGTCAAGGAAAAAGAAAATGAATACTGCATTTACAACTGATTTGGTTTAATTTTTGACTCGACTTGCATAATCCGTATCTCTTAGTCGATTACTCTCTTGTAAGCCAAGTAATGCATAAGGCAAACTATTAATTTGTGCGCTGTTTGTGTTGAGCAGTTAGGCCATGTCGTTTCATATAATGCCGCAAAATTATGTCATCAGCAGACAGACGGAGAGAGCGAGAGAGAGAGAGAGAGAGCAAAGCTACCAAGCCCAACTAAACTGCAGGCATATTTATATATGTATTTATAGTCTCGAATCTGGCATTTTACAGCAATGCCTTTTTCACTTCCATGAGAAGCAATAATGAGGCAGAGACGTATTGTGCCAATTATTTGAATGGCTGTGGATAGCTGCATAAATGTGTTGCACTTTAAAGAAGAAGACGCAGTGCTGTGTTGGGGTTAATGTGCCACAGCACCACACACAAACAAACAAACAAATGAGAATCGATAGCCGAGTCGAGTTCCGTGCGAGATTCCTGCGGACTTTGTCAACGGCATTTGTGAGAACAAGTTCAGCTTATTAGCATACTTAGTATGTAATTTTATTAATGCATCACATTTGAATATTTAATGGAAGCAGCCAGCCAGCCAGCTTGCGCCGATTCGATTGCGTGTCTTCAGCATGTGGCAATAAGTAAATTGCTTGTTCCTGTTTAAATTCATTCGAATTTTCGACGGCTAATCAGGAAAGTTGTCCGACTCTTTGATTTCTTTCAGTGGGCTTGAAAGTTCGTTGGAAAAGTAATTATTTTCGGGATTTAATCTGGTTTTTAAATTGTACATCCTAAGAAAATTTAATCACATTAAATCTAAATATTTTAATAACTAAGCTGACTGTTCAGAAAACTTGTACTTTAATTTCAAATATTTATTTTAAGTGTTACATTTACCGAAATATCTAATAAAATAGATTTCTGAAATCCACTCAAAAATAATTCACACAAGAATTCAAATTGTTTATAAAAGCAAACGAAAAACACATTTAAATTAAAAAATTCTATTTTTGGGAAACAATTCTCAAAAATCGCCCAATTATCGTGATCTTTCATACATTATATGCTTCAAAAAACAAGCTTAGAATCAATTTTGTGTTTCCGGCAATTTGAAAATAATACTTCTATGAAGTTGGCAATGGATTAGTGTTGCGTTTATCGACACATTATAAATAGATAGAGTTTAAATGTTTGTTGGGTGAAACTCACCTAAATTTGGCACGGTAACAGTAACTTGATTATTGGAGCCAACATCTACAGTTGCCATTCGGCTCGTATCCACACTGGCTGGCTTGAAGTCATCTGGAAATCGTAGATGGATTGATTGCAACATCAGAACTCATTCAAAAGCACAACAATAAAAGAAGAAAACTCCCGAAACGGTACAAAAAAACTCACATTTAATTGTGTGAAATGCGGTCGATGTATTTTTCGGATTGAATGTGGCGCCCAATTTCAGTTCGCGAACCTCGTCCCCAAGATTGAGGCGTTCGGTTAGCGTTGGCTTCTGTTTGGTCATCATCATCGCTGGCCCGTTTCCGTTGTTATTGCTGTTGTTGTTGTTGTTGTGGGAGGAGTATGGTGTAGGCTGGTAAGGCAGGTGGTTGTTTGAGGGTAGTATCTGATTATTATAATTGGCACTGGTGTGATTTGACTTTTGATAATTGTTGTTGTTGTTAATGTTGTAGCTGTTGTTGTTGTTGTTGCTGCTGCTGCTGTTGTAGTGATATGACTTGTCGCCAAATGTGTCGCTGTTGGGTGTCGACGCCAACGCCAACGCCGACGTCGCCGTTGTGGCAACAAAGCTCCGCTCCTCCGCAGCGCCACCGCGTTGATAGTTGTAGCCGCTGTTGTTCGTAAATGTTGTTGTTGCTGTTGTTGTATTGCTGCCACCTAATTCGCTGCTGCCAGCGCCGACGCCGATGCCGACGCCGCCGTTGGTGCTGCCGCTGTTATTATTGCCGGACTTGCGATAACTGCCGCCGTAATGTTGACTTGCAGCTGCTTTAGCTTTCAGTCGCTGAAGTTTCGTTATTGCCACGGATTTGGGAATTTTTGCGGCCGTAGAGTTCGACGTGTTGTTTCTGAACGTTGCACAGACTTTTTCACACACACACACACACGCTGGGTGGGAGTGAAAAAGTGTGTTGCACGCTACAAACAAACACGTTTCACAATCGATGCAAACGAAAACGAAATTAAAAATAAAAAAATCAAATTTAACTTGTAATAGGTACGCTGCGTAGCCGAGGATGCAATCGAGGTGGTTGTTGTTATTGATATTTTTGTAGTTTTTGCTGCTGCTGCTGTTGTTGTTGTTGCTGTTGTTCCGGCTGATGGCTTGATATTTGATGATAATTTGCTACTCCTTTGGGGCGGCGGCGCTTTCGCGTTTTCGTTGTCACATTTGGCATTGGTGTTTGGGTGTTTCTTATTTCTCTCTTTCTTTCTGTTATGTTTGCTTTGATCCCGTCATTTCACTTAGTTTGAGTCGGAGCAGTTTTTGTTGTAAGGCAACATTGGGAACTGCGAAGAGAATGAACAAAAAAATTATTATTTCATCTTCTCATTTTTCTTTTTGTTTGTTAGATTTTTTTCCATATGTTTGCACTGTTCACACATACACACACACAGACGCATGCACACAACATATATATGAATAATTATGTGCAAAGGCACAAACATATGTATTCTATGCGCTTCACAACACTGGCCAACTGCACCTGCTGGTCTGACGTTGTTGTTGTTGTGATTATTGGCTCACATATTGACACACATTTCTGTACTACGCATTATTTATGCAAATCGTGACACAATCCACTAATATATTTGATCAAATTGCAGGCTGTGCGAGTTTGCTTTGTTTCTTCGATTGCACATTATTATTGTCGCATCATACGCTTTCTTCTTTATCGATATAACACAATTGAATGCAAATAAACATTCCATCCACACACATACATACATATTTACGTCTAAAAATTGCTCGTACATAATGTGCATGTATGCGTGAGCAAGGCGATAACACAGATACACTAACGCGCACACACACACGCATATGGATATATATATCTATAAGTATATACACGTGCCGTGTAAGCTTTGCCAATTTCTTTATGTAAATTACAGCTGATCAAATAGACAGCTCACACACATACATAACATACACACCCACACACACATATATATATAGGGAGAGGAGTACTTGCGTACATCGTTAAACATGCATCAAATTATAGCACTTTACAAGCCATTTTAGTGCAAATTAGCGATAATTTTGTGAAACGCACGCACACCAATGCACGTAATACGTAAGCAATCGACAAAAAGTGAGCGGCTGGCAAACGTAAACGACACAAAAAAAATGAGACTATGAAACAGACACAGCTGAAAAACAAGTTTGAAATAGCCGAAAACAGCAAAGCGAAGGTGAAATTTCCGAAAATCAAATTGAAACGTAGACGGAAAATATACATATGCATATGTATGCGTATATGTGTGTTTGCGAGTGTGTGTGCATTCTGCTGCTTGTTTCCTTTGTCGACAATTTGAACTTTGGATGAGCAGCTTCTTTTGTTAAATGTAAACATAATGCTAAATTAGCCTTTTGTCACTGCTATTTTTTCTTATTTTTTATGTCTCCCCTTACAATTTAGCAAAAGCGTTCTTACAATATTTACACGACCCACGAACGACTTGTTAAAAACTAAGACTGCTGAGAGACGCATGCCGTCAGCAAAAAAAAACCAAATATTTGTTGAAAATATACTAAAAAAATACTGAAAGCCTAAAATACAGCCAACTGTTTTTCAATTGCGCCAATGTGCAACACTTGTGTTATAGAGTTGCCAGACAGGTAGAAAAAGTACCAGCCTTATTTTTAATAATAATGTGCGCCAATTTAAACTACAAACTGTTGCAGAGTGAAAATGTATAAATATATACATGTACATTATACATATACATATATTAAAAGAGTCTGGCTTGATTTGGTTGCTAAAATGTGCACTTAATATGCATGTCTTAATTAAAATCGCATCAGCATTTGGCAAATCCCTTCTAAAACCATAACAAACAACAAATGCCGCCCTCAGGATTAGCACCAGTGTCTTGTTTGTGAAAGCAAACAACGTCACAACAACAACAATAACAGCCCTCTGTCTCACAAAAAGAAGAAGAAGAGAGATCATCATTAACAGTTTGCACTAAATCCCTGCAGGCGCCGCCGCCGCATCAGCTACTGTTTTTTCCTCCCTGCTTCCCTCCTTTTGCTCTTATTCTTGCCTGTGAGGAGAGGAAGAAACATTTTTTCTCATTATTGAGAGCGTTAATTATTGTGCCGCTGATCTGCACTTGAAGATTTTTTTCTTTCCATCCGACAGACTGAATTCGGTTCAATGCATTCTTCGTTTGTGTCCTTTTCTTATCCTTTTCGATTATTATTTGAATCTCGGGCAAAATTGAGATTGCTGGCATTTGATAAAAGAATACAACAAAAATTGATGTGAAATTGATACTTTTAGCTCAGTGTTTATTGTATATTGTAAGCATTGGTGTAGTTGAGGGGAACGGGGGAATGCGGATGGGGGTTGGGCTGTGGGTGGTCGCAAGGATACTCCCGTTTGGAGGTGCCCTGCAATTTTGTAGGCAGCCACAAACCACAACAACAACAACGACAAAAACTTTCTAACGGTATTTTGGCGTGACGCGAGCAATTTGTAGGCCGACTGACTTTCCGTTAGTTCAGCGTTCTCCATTGTCCTTGTTTTGTTTTCTAATCAAGCATGTGAACATTTGTTGTTGTTGTTTGCTGCTCTTTTTACAGTTTCCATTCGCATTTCATATTCCATTTTTTTTGTGTGCGGCTAATTTGAAAACTTTTCTTATCACTTGATGAAATCTAAAATTGCATTTTTATGGCACTTCCTTTTTAGCTTCTGGGCTGCTCTCTTCCCTCCTCGCTCTACACACCCCTCTCCCTCTCTACCTCTCTCTCTCTCTATCCTTCTGTTGCTGCTAGTTTCGATGTTTGAACTGCGAACTGAGAACATTCTGCCGCCTTTCGACACTTTCGATTCGAAAAGTTGCTCATTTATTGGCATAGTCAAATACAAACAGACCTGCACTGAGAGAAAAATGTCGGCAGTAATAATGAAAATCTATACAAAATTATTTCTTAAGTCATTTAATCTTAAATATACATTTAAAACATAATTATTTTCATTGTGCTTGTTAAACTTTGTTAATTTTCTTCTTTCTAAGCAATTTGTGGTCTTATTGGGGGCTTTCTAGGTTTATCTAATTCAAATCCCCAAATGTAATATATCTATATTTTATTGTGTTTCTTTCGTTTTAAGTTTTTTATTTAATTTTTTCCTTGTAGTTGTATATAAATCAATGTTGTGGAGTTGTTTAAGCCACATTTAATAAATAAATAAAAACATTTTATAACAGTTTTAGAATTTATAAAAAGTATATTCTATAATCTATAATAATTAAACAAAATTGAATGTATCTGCTCTTGTTGCTTGTTGTTTAAATCAAAATAGTTTGAGCTTGGTTAAAAATGATGTGATTTGTAAAGAAGTTATTTGCGCAGTGTAGCCCATGAATGTGTTTCCAATTGTTATGGCCAATGCCTCTTTTTGTTAGCCGCCTGTAATTGGCGTCAGCCGTTTAGTTACCCTCAATTTTGGGCGTCTTGTTGGTTGGCCCACTTTGAGTTGATATATGTACCCAGAACAATGGAAACGGGAGCAATAAAAAATGTCAAAAATCAAAATACTAATTCTTACCCAGGAACAGACAATGTTGCGCTGATTAAATTACAAATCTCAGTCTCTGGAAAAGGAAAAGCCTGAGAAACAATTGGAATGCAATATGCGATCGTTGACAAATGCAATTTCTTCAGTCTGAAGGCCTTCACTTCATTAAATGCCGCATTGTCTTAAGTGACCCCTTGATCCTTGACCATTGCTGGCTTGTCAGAGCGATAGACGTTGCTAGAAAATTGGGTCAAGGCCAACTGCCAACAAGGGTTGGGACCAATCAAAGGTTTTACAACATTTTTGCTACCTGAAATCGGAAGCCAGCAGCTGTAATCAGCTGCCACGCCCACTGTCAAACTGTGCGCCCACTTATGCAAATGTAATTAGCAACAACTGTAAAGCTATAAACATCCATCCAGGCCCCGACGGCCTGACAAATGCGCCCCGATCAGGCGCACATAAATCAATTTAAGTGGACGCTCCCCCCAGGGACAGAACAGCCTCCGAGGGGAGTGAAGGGGCCAGAGGTCTGCTCTATTGGGGGCCCCGACAGCCAGTTAATTCGCACGATCGCGAAAAGTTTGAAAATTGTCTGTAATTATGGTGGTGCAAACACTGCATCGCATCCCAGATCCTCAGCTCCCAGCGTCGAGTCCCCAGTCTGTCTGTCCCCATCGTAGGCAGCTAAATTGATTTTAAAACTCGTATGTGTCGTGCAGAGTATACACTGAAAAAAATAATACTCGACAAATAATGGCTAATCACAGTTTTAACTATTGGGGTTGATTTTTGTAAACCTTGTAAATAACATTTTTGGATACAAATAATTCATTTTTATTCGGAATGTAATTTCTCAATTTTACAAAGAGTTCTTACTGAATTTTAGAAATCAAATTTCATAAGATATATCTACTTTAAATAAATATATAAATACTTAATGCTGAAAAGTAAATTGCCGACGAGTAGAAATAAACAACATTTTTTCTGGATTTCTCGATGAGTTGCAAGCACTTTTAAATTTTCCCCAATTGTTTTGAATTATTTTCATAAGCAAATATTTGGATTTCGATTTGGTTTAATTGTAGAACTATTTTGTTTGAGTGTTTGGCACGGACACGGCAGACGAGTAGGGCGCAACAGCTTGCATGTTGTGTGTGGGCAATAATTCAAAATTTATGTGTTTTGAAATTATTTTAATGCTTCTAATATGACTTTTCCGCACCAGACTTTTCTTTGACCAGACCCACAGCCCCGACACCGGGCAGCCATAAATTTATGAGTCTGTTAATTTCATTGAAGTTTGCCATCATTTCGCCGTCGTGGGTGAACGTAAACTGGGTGTATTACTATATTTATGCATAACCAAATGTACTTGGATGCCATCTATTTTATAATTTGCCAAAACTGATGTGAGCAAATGTACATGGGAACTATCCAGATGAAACTAGAGGAATATATCCTCAATGCTGGTGATATGAGGACTCTTCCACCGGGTACAATCAAGAACAATAACCCATTAATAAGGGAGAGGCACAGGCTGTAAAAATAAATAAAATATATACTAAAATTACTCAAAGAAATTTACATAATATTATGTTTATTTTCTAGTTTAATTCTCCATTGTTAAATATCTATGTTGATTTGTAGTTAAGCTGTTTAACGGCCTTTTCACAATTGAAGCTAATCACGGCTAAGACTCAAACAGCGTTCATAGATCACTTGGCCAGCAACACCCCCAACTAATTGATATTGGAATGCTGATTTGTGTGTGTGTGTGTGTGTTAAGTACTATGGGGTATCTGTCTGCCAGCAGCATTCAGTTTCGAATTCAGAAAATCAGACACGCATCGACCCCATGCGGTGTTGCTTGCAACTAGCGACTTGCAACTTGTGACTGCCTGCACTGTGGAGCACTCAGCTGTCAAATATGTACTCAAAAAACGCTAAAATACACAGTGTATTTGGGTAGAAAGAATGATGCACATTAAAAATAGCTAATTAAGTTGTGGCATTGTTAGTTGCACAACGTCTCACCTTAGCCAGAAGAAGAGGGAAACGTGTCTTAAGCTTGAATGACATAGAAATTCTCTCAGTGCATTTAAAAAAAGCAATATTATGTAACAGAAAGAAGTTAGTATAAGATATATATATTATTGATCAGCATCAACAACCGAGTCAATTCTCCTAGACCAGCTCTCTCTGGGAGATCTCAACTTTTTAAACTTGAATCTTGGCTTTTATCTTTTAATTCATTGTAAAAAACTGTTAACTTTTCCCACTGTGCCGGGCAACCCGGCAATATGAGCAATCACAACCAAATAGACGCACATTGAGGCCCATTCGACCCCACGGGTCTCCATCTCGATACCCACTATCGGCGATAAATATCGCACTGTTGTAGCTCTGCCTCCCTGTCCCTGTCGCTTGTCCCCCTCTCTGTCACCCTCTCTCTCTCTCTCTCTGTGTGTCTGTCTCTGTCTGTCTCCCTCTGTCTGTGGTGCGTGCCGTCAATCGGTCGTTTTGTGTGCTGGTGGGTCCATTAAATCGATATCGTGGCGTGCTTGGATGTAAGTACAAATGTCCAACTAAGTACAAACATCGATTACAAGATCACACGCAGAGTTGGGGCCGCAAAAAAAAAACTACAGAGAAAAACCAACTGTGGCACGAGGCACTAACGACTCAAGGCACCAGACCATTCGAGCTGCGCTAAAGCTTTGCGATCCCGATTGAAGTATTTCGATTTGTATATGTTTGTCAACTTGTCCGACTCGAACGTGTGGCACTTGTTCTGCAAGCGGATTCAATTGAAATTGATTTCTAGCCGAAAACTGATTTCTGTTTTGCTTGTCTTTTTTAATTGAGACAAAAATATACACAGAACTCGACTACCAAATAATTAACAGCACAACATGCATATGAATATCATCATTGTTAGCT